CGCCCATGGGGCACGGCGGGGCTCCGGGCTGAGCTCCGCGGGAGCGCAGCGCATTGGTCAAGGTTTTAATGTCCATCCTGCCCCAAGCACCCATCATCATCTCCTAGTCTCGGTCATATCCGAGAAGGAGCAGGGATCCAATAACCAAAACATCTGCTATGAGACTGTTGAAGCTTTTCAGTATCTGTGACTACCTGTCTAACATGAGAGGCTTTGGAAGAACAACGCTGCGCCCCTGCCCTGTAAATCTCTCTTTTTTTCCCTCCAGTAAGGTTTTCTGTGAAGACACCCAGCGCTGGAGGCAGGGAGCAGCCCCGGTGCTCCCAGCGCCTCGGCTCCCGCCTGGGACACTGGTCTGGGGAGGGTGCAGCGCGCGGGGCCCGGGGACGCTGCGAGCGGCCTCCCAGGCGCCACGTCCGCGCCGGGCGGGAAGCTCGCTGCTCTTTCCCGCTTACTTTTAGTCCTTTGATATTTGCGTCTCTTCCGAAAGCGCATGTTGATTTTTGGCCACGACTCTGTCTTTTCGATCACGGTAGCCTCCACACGGACGAGCTCCTTCCTGAAAAAGGAAGGCAGAATTACAAAGAATTACAGGTGCTACTTTTTATGTTCTCCTACCACAGTTGTCTGGGGAAGAGCCACATGCAAGTGACGTGTCCTGCCCTGCAAAACCCTGCAAAGCCCTTGCAAAGGTCTGCAGGAGCTGCTAAGTGAGGGGGAGAAGAGACAAATCTGCCTGCTTGTTTGAGGTGCTCGAGGCTCTGTGCTCTGTGGATCGGCTAAGCGACGTCCTGGTGCACAGGGCAGGGCTCTGCCACACCAGGGACAAGATCAGACAGGGTCGAGGACGCAACAGCCGCGAGAGCTTGCAGGAACTTGCAGGATTACACAGAGACAGATTCCCCTGGCAAGTTTACCCGGTTCTGCGCTTTCTGCTGCACTTACAGCAAAGTGAAACCCAACCACAGGATGTTTTCCTGTGCTTGTCTGTGTGGTCAACAGAGGAGCCCGAGCTCTTCCTCACAGCCAGCTGTGACAACATCTCCCCTTGCTCACCTGAAGAGCCCCCGCAAAGCTGCGTCCCGCGAGCAGCTCTAGCTCCAACATCGGAGCAGGGAGCAGGGCTGACCGGCCGCTCCTCCCACCCGGCTCTCACCTGCCTCCTGCTCCTGGTCTGCCCTGCCTGTTTACTCCAGCTCGGAGCAGAGGATGGCGCCTGGCTGTGGTTTCACACACATGGGAGCAAACACAAATTCCCTCTCCCCATCCCTTTCTGCAACGATGGGGTTGGAAAGAAGAATAGACTCCACCACACATGACTAAAAGTCACCATTCTGCCCTCCACATTCCCTCACCAACACAGGTAAACACGCCTGAGCCCCACGCAGGTACCTGACAACACGCAGGGAGAAGCTGTCCTACCCCCACGAGAAAAGCTCTGCCGCGTTTCCCCCACTGTCTGAGACACACCAGAGCAGGGAAACACAACGATCCGAAGCCAGCACCCAAGGACAAGCTCACAGGCTGCCCTCTCTGCCCTCGCAGGAGCGTTGCCTCCCTCCAGACAAGGGCAGAGCGGCGCTCTGGGGAGCCTGGCTTTAATCCACAGCCGCGGTGAGGGAGCAAGAGACACTCTCTCCCGGAGCGCCGCTGCAGAGCTCCATTAAAAGCTTGTTAGCCCGCTTGCTTCTCTGCCCAAAGACCCTTAAAGATCATTTTCCCAACAAATGACCCTGTGGGCACTTTGAAAGGAGGTGAGGGGAAGGGCCGACTCTTCACTGAGGTCACTAGGAGGCTGAGAGCTTCAAGGCATTGCTGTTCACCCTCTGGGGTCTAATACATACTTGGAGAGTGAATCCTTAAGGGAGCGGGGGAAGGACAGCTAAAAAGAGCAGATATGGCTGCATTTAGCGACTAGTCCGAAGGGAGAGAGCCACAACGTAATCAAGATGTTGGAGACCACTGGGGGACTCCAACATCTCGGCTTAGGGATGCTGTCCAGGCTCAACCCAAGGACAGGACCAAGAGCACCACAGAGACACACGGCACTGCAAAGCTAGCAAGGAAATCGGAAAGCAAACAGCACTCCAGGGGTTGGCTGTGTTTCACCACCACAATTAGGGAGCTAGTGGCTTTCTGGGTCTAATTCCTGTCCACTGGAAGCAAAGAGAAGGCCAAACTCCCACTGACTTCTCTCAGGCTTGGATTATAAGGGCATACCAAAAGCTGGCTCGTGATGATCACACGGAAAAGCTGGAAACCGCCCGGGCCAGCAGCAGTGCCTGGGTCACCGAAAGCTCTGTGCTGCTCTTCGGGGAGCCAGCGCTTGCAGCAGCACAGCCAGCTCCTCCTTGCTCCGGCCCTCTCCGCGGGTCGAGCCAGTTTCCGTGGGCCTGGGGTAGCGGGCGGGCGAGACGAGCGGCGGGCAAGCGCCCCACCGCCGACAGACTCTTTGTCTGAGTTTTGAATATGACCCACAAAACACATCCCAGATATCTGAACTGTGCAGTCAGCTGAAGCAAACAGTCAGGCCTGCTGTCCTCAGTAGCAAAGAGCTTCATGAAGAAGCATCCTCCCCTGGATCATTCCCTTCGCTCTGCTCTAGGGGACCTGCAATGCAACCCTGCCAAGCCCACGTGTGCTCTGAGGACAGCTCCAAAAGCACACAGCAATCCCTGCATTACACGGCCAAGCTCAGCAGGGTGACCCACCACTGGGTACCCCTGTGGCAGCTGACCAGCAGACAACAAGGTGCTTGAGCAGAGACAAAACCTGACAAATGCCAGGACAAAAGTCACCCAGAAGTTCCCAGAACTGCCTTGGCCATGCACACAGGGTTTGTTGCACTGCTGTTTTTTAAAGCTTTGGGAGGCATCTGACTGCTAGAGAAAATTAAAACACGACCAGCTGTCCAAACCAGGACAAGCTCCTACCCACCTCCTCACTTGGACAAAGTGCAGCTGTAATGAGCAGCCTAACTAACGAGCTGGCACAGGCAGTCACTGATGTGCTTATTAAAAAAAAAAAAAAAGCCTTTGTTTGCATCCGAGCTCTCCTCTCTCCTCCAAAACCTTTGCGGTTTAGGCACAACTGGGAACTGTGCCAAAGAATTACAGTTTGTGACGCCTCCAAAACACTGGGTCCCCCACAGCTCTCTGAGGGAGCAGGGTGCCTCCCCACCACCTCTTCTTTCCCCTGACAGCAGCCTCCTCCTCCTGATCCTCCTCTGACAAAGTTACCCAAGTTTAAGCTAACGCTGCCAGATGTGTGGCCCTATCTGCCTCAGACAACTTAGGAGGCTTTTCGTGCACTTAGATCGCTGGCAGGGGTTGAGCAGCAGCTTTTTCTTCTTGTCCCAGAGCTCCTGGGTCACTGGGCACATGCCAAGTCCTCCAGTCTCCAGAGCTGCAAAAACACATTTCAGAGGTGCTAGCTAACAGTGGCTGGCCGAGGATGGTGCTCCTACACTGCCTACCTGGGCTTTCTCCTAAGCTCTTGCAAGATAATGTTTTTAAGTCCTGATAATGGTTTTCCTCTTCCTATCTCTTTCCACAGACGGAAAGTCTGGGAATAGCACACAGGCTCCTGAGGGCCTGCTATCCTAACAGCATCATTTGAAAAGTTCCCAGAACCCCAAATCCTGTGCAACCAGGGATCCCAAGGTTGCTAGCAGCGGTGCAGCCAAAGCCTTATAATGAACTATACAACTATTTTAGAGTAACTTTTAAATCCAGACAGCTTGCCAGAAGAAAAACCAACCTGCACCCATGTGGTATTTCTACCACGAATCTATAAACCATCAGAAAATATTTCCAAGATGTACAGACTCCTCTGCCCCACACCATCCTCTGCCTCAGCTGCTGCAGCTCAAGCTAATGCTGCTGAACAGGAAGCTTAGCCTGCAACAGGGCAAAAGCTCCCATGCGCTCAGATCTCACAACCCACCTTAGCTTGACCTGTGTTTTACCATTAAAATCTGCAGTTCTAGGGAAAACCAGTTTGTGGCTTCTCTCTAGTGAGTGCTAGGAATGGAAACAACAACACCTAGTGCACACACTGCTTCTTCTGGTAAAGGAAAGGCTGAAGAACCAGCCGCACTGCCAGTTATCACAGCCAGTCCTACAGCCCTAGAACTGAGCTGGTGCCATGGGGTGAAACTCCTGCTTCCCGATTCTGTGTTTGCTGGTGTCACACGACTGCCAGGAAGGGAGAATTACACTAACGCTAAGTAAGGACGAAGGTCTGCGGGGTTAGGACCAGGGCAAAAGGAAATGGGTTAGAAACAAAAACACAAAACCACTTCCCTCCCCTCAAGCTCAGGGATGGGCAAGGATTTCTGTGCTATTCTAAGAGACTGTCACTGCAATTAGGGTTAGGGAGCAATGATGCTGAAAAGCAAGATTTACTGCTCATTTGTGCAAAGGTTACACACTAAGGAAGAGGTGAATATCCTACAGCTACCTTAGGAACGGGCACTGCTGCTATGCCCTGGCACCAGGGCAATGGGCAGTTATAAGAGGCTTATGATTTATTGGCGATTCTTTTGGAAGCCACAAGGATGGGAAAAGGGCTCGTGCTAACAAAGGCACAAGGCTGCTCTTAGCCAGGAGACCATGGGAGCCCTGGAGCTACAACTAAATTCAAGATTTGTCTTCAGAGTATTTCTTGTGCAAGGCATCTTACCCCAGGAGCGGCCTTCCGATCAGCGTGAAGTCATCAGCACCAACCAGCAAAACCTGCAGAAAGCAACTCCATCAGACACAGCAACGGCTCACGGCGCGGAGACGCAAACGTTAGCACCCAGATTCTGCAGGCACCACGGAGGAGCCAAGCAGGCCTTGACACATTTCAAACATCAAATTGTTACTGGACAGGGATGCAGAAAAAAGGCAGCTAATGGCCAAGAAACAGTCCTGTTAAATCAATGCTCTCCCAGGAGTATTTGCCCTACTAAAGGTTACTTTAAAAGTATCTTTCACACTGATGAGAACACACTGACTGTTTCTGTTCTGGGCATAAAGACACGGAAAGCAACACAGGGCAGAAGAAAGATGTGTCTTGCATAGGATCTGAATGAATGGCAGCTCTTAAAATCATGGGATTTTGTAGTGTTTGCTCCGTACCCTTTAGCAAAATGCTTTGCTCCATCTTCCCCATGAGGCCGCAAGATGGGCGATAAAAGAAAACAGATGTCAAAACCACAGGGACCAGCTCTTTTGTTCAGGACATTTGAACCACCTGCCTCTGTCAGGACCAGGGTATCTGCTTGCAGTCTGCCTCCCTCCCACACTGACTGAATGGCAGCAGTTAAAAGCAACGCACATATGGCCAATAAATGTTCTGAATTTTGCTTCAGACAGACACTTGCCAGTGAAATTCCAGCAGGGCTATGACCACCTATTAGGCAAGTGTTTAGACCTTCTTTCTCCTCTCCAGGTCTTTGCAGTCCTAGCTGGCTGCTCCACCTGAATCTCTCCTGTTGCACCCAAGGATGCCGGGAGGAGACAGCTGAAAAGCTGCCTCAAAACTGGACCTTAAAGCAGCAAATGGGTAAAAAAATCTGCCTTTCTCTCGACAGTTCTGCATGGCTCTAAATCAACCAGAGATTAAGCCAGCAGCATCCTGCTTCAGTCTTTCATTTCATATTTGGAACAACAAGTCTGTACGAGCCCATGCTAGTTACCAATGCCAAGGATAAAGACACTAAATTGCATTCTGGCAGTTATCCCTTATAAATGTCCCATCCGCCTCCCTCTGCCTGACAGACTCGGGCCGATAAGGATCTTGCAAAGCGCTGAGCGTCAGCGATCCCCCTGGGAGTACTCCAGGTGTTTTAGGTGTTGCAGCCCCAAGGTAAACACCACCCTTGGATGCCATCTCCAAAAGCAACAACTCTGTTTTTCTCCTTTTGCATAAAGTCAGCACAACAAATATCTGCCTCCTAACAGAGCCTGGGGCAACTCAGTCCAGCCCATTCAGGGGAAACCATAACATTATCACTAACAGGGCAATCGAAACTGCAACAAAGCTAAGGCCAAGCAAATAGCTGCAGTAAGAAAGGGAGATCCAGCAGAAGCTCCTTGAGACTCTTCAGAAACCGGTCATCGCTTTTTGCCTCAAGAAACATTTGCAGACAAGTTGTTTGTGCTCCACACGCAGCACGGGGCCCGCGGACCCCCGACACGTTACCTTCTCCATGCGGATGCGGTCGCCGCACTCCGCCTCCAGCACGTTGTCCATCATAATGAGGTCTTCAGCAGTCACTTTCCACTGCTTGCTGGCAAAGTGGACCACGGCGAAGAGCCGCCCGTACTGCCCCGTCGCGATCATCTCGTTCACCTTCTGCACCACCTCTGGCAAAGGAGAATCGGCGGCGGGGAAAATCAACCCAGCAGGGTGTGAGAAATTGTTCAAGGCTCTTCCAGCCACCCTGCTCTCCCACAGAATCTGGTCTCACCCTGGAATCCTTGGGCAAAGGACTTTGCTGTTACCTGCACACAGAGCAAGCCTCCTTTCCCATAAACCTATGACTTACTCAGATATTAGCTGCTGGCAAAGCTCTAGCTAAGCGTGCACCTCATGTGGATACAGCCTGTTTTCCCCAAGCACCCTCCAAGGCCGGTATTGCAAATATTAAATGTTCTGGAGGAGAGTGCCTCTTCAGGCACCAGGAAAGGAGCTTTCCCCAATTTCTCAGCACTAGCCAGGAAACGGAGCCCTCTGGAGACTTTGTAAGGTGTCCACGAACACCAGGAGGAGCTCTGCAAAATACAGACTCTGTGTTAACAGAAGAGTCTGTGCTGAGAACTTGTACCTGTAACACAGTCAAGGCAGATCTCTCCTTTATTCCTGTGCAGAAGAGCTCTCCCCACATGCACATACACACAGAATGGGTGCCAGAGGCAGAAAAAATCCCTGGCACAAGGCGCTGTACATGCCAAAAATGCCATTTCCTGTGGTGAGCTGTCTGCACGGTCAGACCAAAGCCAGACTTTACAGGAAAGGTTTAGCTTAATGAGTGCCATTCCCTGCCAAACTGCAGCTTTCCATCCCCTCATGTTCTTTAGGAAAATAAGAACTTTTCTATAACTGGAAAGGAGTTTTTCTTCACTGTCCTCAAAAGCAGATGAATCATTTTTTTTCTTGGAATGCAAACAAAATATAACAACCAGTTGGGACAGACCAGAATTTAGCAGCGGGTCAAATCAACCCCAGCCCTTGCGGAAACACCCCATAAGTGTGTTCAACTTTAAACCCAAAGGACACAAACTGTTAAAGGTTAAGAACCCCCGAGAAACAGAGGCTAGAACAGGAACTATTTTGCACCGTGGCCGCTGCTCCAGTTCCCACTACAGTGCAAAGCAGAGCTCCTGCATCATTAGGATCACTGTCGAGGAAGAGACCAGGCGCTCTTCTCTGGCACAGAGTGGAGCGTCACAAAGTCCAGAGCAAAACCGCTATCCCCTTCTTTCTGTTATGCCCTCAGCTGCCTGACGGGATACAACAAAATAAGTTTATTTTAGTTCTAAACCGCTGGTTCCCCTGTAGCAGCTGGGTGGTAAACACTTCCAAACAGCCTGTCGGAGTGCACATGGAGCACAGCGTGCTCATGGCTTGTGCTATGGCCAGCGGCATTTGTGGATATCTTGGGATCGGGAACGCCAGCTCCTGAGAGCTGCACATGAAAACGCCGGCCTATGATTTTTCTCGTAGTCAGAAACTGGAAGATTTGATCCCCTTGCCAAATTAATTACTACAGTCAGATACGTATGGCTGTTTCTGCAGCCAGCAGGACAACGCAACACAGAACTCAAAACGATCAAGACGGATTCAAGACAACCACGAAACCACCCTGAGCCTGTTTCAGGGCAGCACGGTCAGAACGCACCGATACAGGCCCAGAAACAGCAGCGGCCACGAGGCAGGGCAATGCCCCCGGCCAAGGCCCTGCGCAGAGCGGCCACAGGAGCGC